GCTTCGCGTTTATATATGCATCTCATCATTTGATAAGACTCATTCCGTGCGTTTGCTCCCCCAAAAAGGGTCGGAAGACCGCGCGCGGGGAGGTGACGGGTCCCTGCTTTCCAGCCGTCGAGACGACCTGCACAGGTTCGCGTGTGCCTTGAGTCCCAGCTCTGGTCGGCCGTGGCAAGGCTTCCGACTGCGCGCACTTGAGCGCTGGTGGTTTTGCGTTGAAAGTGAGTTGGATGGTTGGGAGTTCATCATGTTTGGGCTCGCTCGGCCTCGCTGCGATCTTCTGGATTTTGGATCTCAACTTGTTGGAAGGAGATGATTTTGGACAAGGAATCTGCGTAGATCTGAGGGGTGATAAGCATCTGGACTCGAGCACTAGCTGCCAAATTGTGTAAATCTTGGGATAGCTCACGGGTTGCGAGTGAACCATTTAGATCAACCACCAGCCAGAGCTGGAGAAGACCAGGCTCTTGGAATCAGGGATTTCTTGTTCCCGCTATTTGGGGTTCTTGGAAAAGGTGCCTGCGGGCGCCTTGGAGCGGTGCTGGTGCAGGGTGCCGCTACACAGTGCGTGGTTGAGTTTGGCTGCCATCTGGGTCTATGCTGGTGTATTCTTTTCCCAAACAAGAAGACGGCCAGAGGTCTTCCTGAAAAGTCGAGGCTTCCCAACCAACTTCGCTTCGGAGGCTTCTCATCCCCCCCAGGCCCAGTGGCGGTGCTGCTGCTGGCGCTGGCAGCCTTGGGGACCTCCGAGCGTCGTGCTGCGCTGATGCTGGCGCGCTGGACGTGGGATTGGAGACGTGGGTGAGGAGAGCTTTCAATTTGATCCATGTTTTTTTCTGGATTGATACACACAACATATAATTATATATATATATATGTATACAGTACATATTTTTGTTGGGAGAACCTTGAGGGACTAGAATCCATACAGTACCTTCTTTTGGATGTGTGGACGTTCCTGGTCCCAGGTGGATGATTTCTTTTTCGGTGACTGTTGCTTTGATCGTTCCAATGCGCCCGTTCTCAGCGTCCTATGGTCAAAGCCCACCCTGATGCTGTGACAGGTGATCCTCCTCTACATGGGCGTTGGGTTTCTTGCTGCCTCAGAGCTGCAGGGGGGAGAGGTTAGCTCTGGTGATGAGTGGAAGAAGCAGGAATGTTCAACAGTTCTGGCGTATTGTCTTAGTTCCAAAAGCAAACTGGACGGCTGGGTCGTTCCATTTGGCGACAAACCAATAAACATATCACACCGGAGAGGCACCATGGCAGAAAGGGCTTTGCTGCCGCTGCCCTGTCAAATCGTTTGGGATTTGAGCCAAGAGTTTGGGCTGGGGAGTTGATTCCTTCAACAGCATGGTCGACCAACGTAGACGCTTCAGCAGCTAGGACAGCTAGGATTAAAAACGAACAGATGCAGTAACTGCGGAGACATTGTTCACGGGACAAAAGTATGATCAATGATATTCATCCAAGACTTGTAGTCGACAAATAATATGAAGACCGCGGAACAAGGTCCCCAACTAGGCGATCTGTGGGTTCTGCAAGTCGAGAAAGGAGAGAGAGAGAGAGACCCTGGAAACACAAATTCAATCAAGTTATGTTGAAGAGTGTTTCTGCGAATGGACGAAACAAATCAATCCCTGGAAACACAAACTCAATCAAGTTATGTTCAACATTGACGGTTGGGGGTCAGGGGTTGGCGACAGTTATTGATACAGGGGTTTGAATATTTGGTCCATCTACTGTAGTATAGGAGCGTAGTAGAAGGGACAGTGACATTTGGCCAGTGCTTGGGCGAGTGTCCTTCTTGATCAAGAGTCTTCACTGTCTGTGGCATGATGTCTGCGTTGAGGGCTGTGCACTCTTACCCAACATACAGGCCCAAATCTGGCCTAAGAAAAGAAGTTGAGTCACATTGAGCGTTTGATTTCGAGACCTCCTTTTGACAGTGCAGTGAGTTACAATGTTTATTTTTTTCACTTCATGTTTTTTGGGGGCATTTCTCCCATCGCCGCGCTGGAGTCCCCATTCCCGTCTGAGGATTCTATCGAGGTGGGGATCCGGAGACGGTTTGGGACCCTCTGGAAAACACCCGGAAACACCCCAAAAGACAGGCCTCGGCCTCGCCCTGCAAATGGTGGCGATGTCCGAAATGTTAAAAATTCGACCGTAAGATTTGATCTGGCTTTGGACAATGAGAGCCGACAGAGTTCGACGGGGTTCGAGTTTCGTGCCCAAAAGCAGTTGCCGGGCTATGAACTTTGAAGCAATGAAGTACCAGGTGGAAGATGCGAAATAATGAGAAGGGAAGCGAGGGGTGACAAGGGGAAGGCCTGCAAATGTGGAAAAAAACAGCCATCAAGCACTTGGCGAGCCGACTGTGCTTCGGACGGTTGTACTGTAGAGACACAGAGACATAGATGTCTTCAACCATGCAAAACATGTTTCCAATTCATCGGATTGCCCAACCTGGAATTAAGTACAGTCTGCCCGATTCATACATCCCTATCATTCCCTATCTCTTCGTGTGTCATCCCGGTCAGAACCACCACAACCCCGCGATGCAATACACTTCCTTTCTTTGCGTTGTGCAGGTCTATGGGGGCGCCATGGAATTTCAGAAACCCTTAGCGTTACCCTTGGGACCGCTGCCCTTGTGGTTCCTGGCACTTTGGGCCAACTTCGGCTGCGTTGCCCCTCGGAGCGCAGCACACGCGATGGATGGAGAGAGCCAGAAGGGGCCAGTTTCGGTGGTGGTGGCAAGCGATGAGGAAAGGCAGAGTTGGTGACATAGATTTTGCAGTCAAAAGAGGGGAAAGGTCCTGAAATGTGGGAGGATGTTGTGTGTGATAGCTTGAACAGCTTGAACAAGTTACCCAAGTTAGCACGCGAAAAGGGTGAAGATACCAGTTCCAAGACTGAACACATTTTCCAGTCTGGGAAGGTGTTTTCCATTTGTTTCCCTACTCGTGGAAGAAACACATGTTGGAAACAGTGGGCCAATGACCCCGGAGACGGTTTTCGACTATGACGTTGTTTTTGTTCCACCAAATGCCAAACTGGTAGAGAGTGAAAGTTCTTCATCTAACAAGATGGCCCCCACTGGTTGGAGGCAGTTGACCACCTGAACAAAGGTGTGACTTATGCCGCATATTGACGCTACTAGGAGCAAAGGGCATCGCTACTATTTGTTCACAGGGCTCGGCACCCTCGCTCCTGGACGGATCACGATCACCGCCGCCCTTTGACAGCACCCGTCACCATAGGGTGGGGTACAGAAAACCTTTGTACAATCTCTAGATGACACCAACAATGAGTGGAGATTCCAGACGAACCAAAGACTGTAACAACCCACTCAGTGTATTTGTTACACTAGTGATCACTCACTAAGTTTGTTTTGGTGTTGAAAACACTGACAGTATGTGAATAGACACAACCAGGACCAACCAGGACCGGCTCCAGAACCGAACCGACTCTGGGGAACCCGGCGGACCGCACCGGCCGCTCGTTCGATACCTGGCGGACCCAGGCTGAATACCTCCTGCTCTTTCGACCTTACCTGGTGGGAAGGGGAGAAGTCAGTCGGAGAGAGCTCGGTTTACCAGAGATCCAAGGGTTCTACCGGGTCGGTACGTTTGTTTTATTTTGAACTTCTGCATGAGCCAGGTCAGGAGCACTCCAAAATCAATGTCACTATAGTATAGAACCAGACGGTCGTTTCAAGTGTCGGGGATTTAAAGCATGTTCCTTGGAGCGCTCGGCGGAGGGTTTCCTCGCTAAACTCGGATGATTTTCTCCACACGAGGAGGGGCAGGTTAGATGGAATGTTTCACAAGGTGAATGAATTCACGAAGTAACTTACCTACCAAAAAGCAGTTGTCCTCTGGGCCTCTGGGGTCCTTCCTTCTTTTTTGCTAACGAAGGTGTTGACTCCAAGCGTCAACGGATCCACCGGGTTGTGGGGATTGGTGGCTGGGGCAGCAGTTGTGTCTCTATAGAAGATCCATTCTGATTCTCCTACCGAAGTCCGGAGAACTGCACATGACGATCTTCTCCGCAATGATATAGAGAGAATGAGAGAGACTTCGAGCGGCTAGGCCTTCTTTCCTTCCATCAAACATATCTTAAGTTCTGGCAAAGTGCTTCACTGGGATCCACCTGGCGCAGTGCTTCACTTCAGCTTTCCAAGCTCCAGGTGGGCTGCGCCTTCTTGGGCTGCATCTTTGGGCCTTTGGCATATCTCGGTGGAGAAGAGCTGAAGGCCTTGCAAATCCATGGCAGGCCGGTCAAGTCTGGCGGCTGGCGGGTTCGTGTAGAGCTTCTTTCCGCGGAAGTGCAGATGTTTCCCTTTTTTGGGTGCTCCGGAGTTGCTTCGCCTCCCGGGCATCCATTTGGTTGCACTGGACCTTTCGCAAAGGTCTGGCAGGATATGATGCATTTGTCCGCCTCGGATGTGCTCCGAAGCTCCGAACCCCGCGACGATCGACGGCTCGCCTCCACGGGATCGTGCAGGTTTGGCCTTGGCATGGTGGCGCTTGAATGGTCGCTGTGCTTCCCTCTGCTGGTCGCGGTGGCCGACTGGTGCCTGGCACCCAAAGCACTGGCTGCTCACGACTGACAGTGAAACAAAAGCTGAAAGCGAGCGGTGTTTTTCCGAGTGCTGACGAGTTCCTTTCGAAGTGGGTGGCTTTGAGCGAGGATCCCCAGTACATCCACCTCTATTTTCCGATCTTGAGAGCTAGCCTTGAACCTCCCCAAAAGATCGGAAGGAAGCAGTGGCCATACCCTGAGTGACCTTGATACTTTTCACCAGTCCCAACAGACCCACCAGCCCTGGCAAAAGAATTCCTTCCTTCTGGAGGGCATCATGCCCCTTTGGTTTAGGAACTCCACACTTTCGTCTCATCTCGTCGGAGGTCTTGCCTCTTTTGGTTCTCCTGGTAGAACGAATCCAAGCTCCCTGAGAGTCACCCACGGACCGCACGGGTCTCCGCCAGGTCTCACCACCGAAATCGAAGAAGGCCACGGCACTCATTGTCCGGGTGCCCAGTGGCAGCACCACCAGCGCCCCGTGGCTGGAAGGTGAAAACCAAACACCATCAAACACCCCAAAACAAGCGCTCCAAGGTGTTGGCTTTCTCCTTTTTCATTCGTTTTCATCCCTTTTCATCCTTTGGGCAGATCAACTAGAGTGTCCCAGTTTAGATCCACAACTACGCAGGTCTACGCTTCTTCACATCCACCAGGGTCGAAGTGAGTGAAGATGGAACTGCTATTCACTCACTGCCTTTTGGTAGCTAATGGCTGGAACACCAAGCCTTCAAGTGACGGCATACCAAAAGCGAACCTGGCTTCTCTCCTGTCCGAGTTGCTTTCTACGTTCATCTGGACGTTCGGTGCCATGATGCGAACCGGGGCGCTCCAGGAGCCCTTGGCGAGCACGTCCGAAAAAAGTACCGTCGCTGGCACAGATGCCGAGAGCTCAGTGGCTATTTCTTGCCCAGAGTGTGAATTCACAAGAGGATATATATATATAGGTATTTCATGGTATTTCTGTCACCAATCAACCCGAACTACCCCACACAGCTTGCACCATTCATTGAACCCTTTTGAAGGAGCAGCTGTGTATTCCTTGATGTGATCCAAATGAATCCAACTACAGCAAGATGCTGTCAACCGGACCGCGCACATTATGACGCACGCAGTGGGGTGCACAGGGCAGCGAGATGTACACATACCTATGCTGTCTTGCTGTACACCCATGCTACTAGGGTGGAGGCCATCGCTGTATGTTGCCTTTTTGTAAGGAGAAAAAGAGGGTGGCTGCCAGGGGCCTTGGCTGGGACAGGGCTGGGGATGGAAGACTTGGTCAGTCCATGATGGCAATCCATGAAATGGCATGAGTTCTCAATATCTCGCCGTTGAAGCTTGTGTGTTTGGTTCAAAGAACACACTACACATTTCAGGCAACAGACCGACTCAGCAGAGCGCCTGGCTGCAGAAATACTGGAGAAAATCCCATAGATAAAGCATGCTAAAGCAACAGCTTATAACTTATATAGCATGATGAATGGCCCCAAATTGTACAGAAAATGATGTATCATCCTTGAACCGAACCTCTAGGTCTATAGCTCTTCGCTTCCCAAAACTGACATGAACATGTTTTGAGAGCAGATGTTGGAACCCCGATGCCCTTTTCGATTTCTTCACTCACCTGACACCAGATTCCACCCCGAAGACGCGTCGCGGCCGAGAGTTCGAGTTGATGATGAAGAGAGGTTAACATATTCCAAGAGTGGGAGTGTCCGTCTCTATTAGTCTATTTGTTTGCGAGGCAGAAAATTGGGAATCGGAGAAATCCAGCACTCTGACCCCATCCACCGGTTCTGTGGATGGGTTCCAGACGACGAAAAAGACCTTCTTTTAATGCATTCCAAAAATGTCAAGAGAGAGGTCTATCCATAGCGAGGAATGTTTCCAATGGAACACTTCTTTTAACACATCTTTGCCATGGATCGGTAAATTCCAAGGATTCCAACGATTTTACTTTTTGCACCTCGACTTCTCCCTGTTTAGCGCTGTTGTTCGGGTTTGGGGCTCCCCTCAGGCACTTCCGTGGTAAAAGGCGGTAAACATCGAACACATGTTTACCGTTTTGCATGAGTCCCTCACCTACGGATTCTACCGAAAGTTGCGGTAAAAACGGTGCAAATCGAACCTGGTCTTTTTGACCGTGTTCTCAACCAAATTTTGACGCATCTCAGCGGTAAACATGGTACTGTAGACATCAAAAGTTGTGCTTGAACCGCATACAAAAAGACAATATCTTTGTTGTTTTCTCATCTAACATTTGTTCAATCTCCGCAATAAACATGGTAAACATCGAACATATTCTGAGTTGCCACATTGCCCGAGTTCCTCGACTATGAAGGGTATCGAAAGGGATGGTAAAATGGTAAAACTCGATCTTCTATTTGTACATTTCTTTATACACGGGGCGTGCGAGAGGGTACCTCCCAGTAAAACAACGCGTGCACAGCAGCTTAGACTCCTCGGAATCGACCCATCAAACTTCCTTGTCAAACCCACTGAGGAGATACCTGGGATCCCCAAGGTAGCCAGACGTGTTGAGCCGTGATCACTTTTAGATTCTTTTATTTTGCAGGGGCACTCATGGATTTGTTCAGATCCAGATGTTCAAACCTGTTCTTGTTTATCTGGCGCAGACGACGAAATATCATACTGTGGATAGCATGGCAGAGCGGTCATTTTTGCCGCAGAACACAGGGTCCTCTTGCCCAGCTTGATGTGGAACGCGAACGGTACACTTCTCGATTGAGACGTGTTTTGGTCAAAGGAGTCCAATGCCTGATTCACATCGCTCCTAAATTTTGTTGACCAAAAACGTCCATTTTTGGAGCTCTTTGGCCCCAAATTCAAATAGGGTCCAACACGCGTTTCTCATTGTTTTTCTTAAGAAGGTAGAGGGGCCCTTTTTAGTAAGAGAGTCCGAAATCATGATTTCGCCTGGAACCCACCGGACCTGTCCTTTTGTAGCCATCATGTCGTTCTTCAAGATCGTCAGATCGATGGCAGTTCTTTTGTCCTCGATGTGGGCCGCCACATTCTTTGACTTGCTCAGGTTGTCGAACAAGGATCTGGAGTCAGTTACGGTGATGAAAGGTGTTTTGCTGATCTGTTCTTGCCAGTTCAGCAGGTCCATTCGAAGTCCTTTGATTTCAGACCAAAGGAACCGCATCCAATAGGATGCTCCAACTCCTTGGACCATAGCTTGGGCTTCAGCAGCTAGAGTGTTTACCGTACATCTCTTCAATTTGTAGCTCTTCCAACTCAATATTGAGATTGGTTGGGGTGATTGTTCAACTTCAAGTGCCTTGTCGTAGGCATAGATGATGTGCCCGCCTTGGCTGTGAGTGCGGCCAACCTGAAGAAACTTTTCGTGAATCTCGATCTTGTTTTTCTTTCCCCTCTTTTTCATGAAAACGGTGTGCCCTTTCCATTCTGCTTCTCCATGTTTTCGGAAATCCTGTCGTCTGTTCCATGTGTCTTCAAAGAGTTCACCATCTACCCAGGTTGCTCTTTCGGCCTCTAGGTCATGGAGTTGGGGTCCATTGGGATCAGCTCCAGGATGAAATAGTAAGTGTCGGGGTTGAACATGATGACGAATCCAAAGATCACCTCGTTCTTCCCAAAAATCTCTGCTCTTCTCTTCCAACTCCTTGCAAGGTGTATTTCCCCAGCTGGCATCTGATGCGGATCCAATTTGAAGGTCCTTGGCCGGGATCGGCGCGATGATGATGCCCGCATCAACTTCTTGGATCGCTTCTTGTGCTAAGGCGTTTGCCTCGATCATGTCTCTGACATACGGTTTGGGCATGCATTGTTGAAGTATGCATACTCGTCCCATCAAGTCTGGCCTGGTTTCCTTGGCCAGCCATGCTAGTGAACCCAATAGAGCTCGAAGAGCGGAGACTTCTTGGTCGGTGCAAAGGTTGTATTTCTGGGTTTTCCGCTCCTTGGTGATGTCCATCGTCTTGATCTTTTCCTTGACGTACATGTTCTGATGGACCTTGATATATCCGTCGGGGAGGCACTTGATCTCCTTACCAACAAATCTTCCATCTCCTTTGGCGAATTTTCCCAACTTGTAGTGTTGTTGGATCCATTTCATCTTCTCCCAATGCTCTTCTCCTCCTCCATGGAGTAGATCATCTGTTGCCACTCCAATGATTCCCATGAGCTTTCTTTCTTGATTTCCATCTCGAGCTGGATATTCCGATTCCTCGAATAAGAAGAAGAGGCATGGATCTGCTTGAGATTGTTCATATCCCAAGTTCACTAGAGTTCGTTGAAGATGTTTGTACCATTGATAGGGCCCATCTAACAGTCCGTAGCAGTGTTTTTTTTAGTCGTAGTAATTGGCGACTTTGTACTCCCGGTAGTCCTTCTGGAGGAAGTTCGGCATAAAGCAACCTGGATATCTCATCTCCGCTGTGAAAAGCCTGGGTGAAGTCCAAGTATCCAGGTTCCCATTTTCGGGAGCAGATCGCCTGTAGGACCAGTAGGACTGTTTCTGGTGCCACTTGTGGAGTTGCTGCGTCAAGCCATTCTGAGTCAGGTTCACTGAAGCCTTTCATCACGTGTCGAGCTTTTGCTTTGAAACCACCGTGTTCATCTTCTCGAAGTAGCAGCTCCTCGTTTTGAATGGCTTCGACTTCATCTGGTTCAATTCTCTTTTCAACCAGGACGTATCTGGATTGTAGGATGTTGTGTCCTGCTCGACGAATCTCTTCTGATTCCTCTGGTGAGATGATCTCATATGCTCCCGTGGAGATGTTGTTGTTGACTTCCTTTTGAATCGCCTTGAGAAATTTCTCTCGTGCTGCGCATAGGAGGTCCTTCAACTTTATCTCATGGGAACCTTTTTGTTTTCGAATTTCAGGTACCAAGGTCTGATACATGACCTCCACCCAGTCGATGCGTTGTCTTTTGTTGTTTCCTGACTCTTCAGCTTCATCTGACTCTTCTTCCATTCTTCGCACTTGTCCTCTATTTCTTTCGTTTTCATCTTCATGTCTTGCTTTCTTCTCTTGCCTTTGTTCATGATCATCTTCTCCTTGTCTCTTGTTGATCTTTGACTCTGGTTCTTCTTCCAGTTCTCGGTCTCTATGTCGTTGATCTTCCGTTGGAGTAGTATCCATCCCGCCTGGGGTGGGTTGTTCCTTCATTGGCGGCTCAACGTCCCATGGAAATGGGATTGAGTCCAAATAGAACTCTGTTCTTCCTTTCCAAGCTTTCTCTTGCACTTGTTCCTCACTTCTCCAGTCATCAACGATCTCCTTGCTCTGGCCATCCTCGAAGTACATGGTTGTTCTTCGAACATTGTTCAGTTTGTTGTAGTCCACGGGGCAGTCCTCTACGTCCGTGGGCTTAAAGAGCGCCTTTCGGAGGTTCACGTGGAATCTCAGAAGAATGCCCTTCTGTTCGTTCCACATCCATTCATCCTCCTCAGGTCTGGCTTCCACTTCCTTGATGGGTGTTTTCCCTTCGATCTTGTATCGAGGTTTCTTCATTCCTTCGTCCTCAAATGGCATTTCATTTTCTAGTTCTTGATCTAGTTCTTCACTCTTGTACTCCTTAGTGAGGTCGATGTAGCCTGCCTTTGGTTCTTCCGACATGATGTGTCTCAGATTTGAAAGACCTTCCATCCATGAAGAGAGCGAGTGATGTTCGTCTTCACTTGCATGTCGAAGTTGTTCGGGTGCAGCTTTGACGATATGTCGACGGAAGTTGATCCATATCGCTCCGGGTGGCGATGTGAGTACCACTTTTGCTGGTCCTCTCCAGTAGCTGGTGCTGTCTTTGCTGGCCTTATCCCCGGGAGCTCGTCTCCAAAAGTATACTGTCTGTCCAACCTCATATTCCGGAACATCTCTACGTCCGGCATGGAGGGAGTTGGTCAAAGCTTGCTGGCACTCCACTTCGTGAAATGCTTTTGCTGCGGCCAGTCTCATTGTTTGGGATCTCTGCAATTGAAGATCTCCTCTCGTGGCCCAGTTTCTTTCCTTCTGCTCTTCATTGGTGAGGAATTGTAGACCACCTGGCATCTTTGGTGTGTAGCCCAACAGTCTCTGTGCTGGTGAAAAAACCCGATCGATTCGACAGACGGTTGACCGTCATGTTGACAATGTCGATGAGATCTCGCCATTCCGACTCTGTTTGTGTGGCATAGGTCTCCATTGTTTTGATCAAGATCTCCTTGAAGGTCTTACCAGCTCTTTCCATGATGGATCGCTGTGTTGGC